GTTCACATAAACATGTTTTGTAAACCTGTGGGAGCAACCAATGGAATTAGTTCTCACCAGTTGGCTTGTAAAACAATTTTTATTACTTCGTAGTCGCACCTTGTATTTTTTATATCCTATATCCCTTTGTGGGATCAGTGTCCTGCAGCCAAAGAGCTTCAGGAAGACCCTGTGATTGAGCAACTTGGGTTTTTTGCAGGTGGAGAGAGCAGCCACCATGAGCAACCATGGGGGTCTAACTAGAAGGGGTCAGGGAAGGACTTGAGTAGGATTTGGGTATGTTTCAGGTGATATGGGGAAGGCATAAGGAAGCAATACTTTGCTCTGGAAGGAAATGATGACAATTCTATGAATATGCTAACAAATATTATTTTCCAGAGGACTTGCATGAGGCTGAAGCTATTCTTGGTAAAGAAGTATCAACCACTCATCCCAGATAGGGGGATGGTTTGGGCAGTGGTTGTGTTTTTGTCTGTGTTCAGATAAGATTACAGAGAGGCCTTGCTTTTATCCTGATCCATCATGACCAGAGTGGCCCTGTCCAATGCGGATGTTCTGTGAAATAGTTTGCCTTCAATAGGAGAACAGCAAGACCTTGCTGTGCGCACCAGACCAACTCCCAGATGTCCAGGGCTGCCTTCTCTTCAGAGGACACATGTGTGTGGCCACACCCTAGCTCATGGCTGTGGAAGAGAAAAGTGGCATCATGCCTGGTCACCATACATTTGTTCAGCCTTGCCAAGGATAATTCTCTCCAGCTACCCTGTTTTTACCTCTCCAAGATAAGGCTTGTGGCCAGAGCTCTTGTCCTCTTCTCTTGGATGCCTTTTCCCCTATAGCTGTGGTCCCAATACAGCCTGTTTGAGTCTGCATGGTAGACGCAAGAGGGTCTGGGTCAGTGACCCCTAGTGAAGATGCTGCACTAGTTTAATTTGTGAACCAATAATAATAATTACCACTATTCATCACAACATCACAGTGTTCTGGGAACTTTACCTATGCCATTTCATTTAAACCATACAATGACTTCTGGAAGGATATTTCTAAAACCTTTCACAGGTCAGGAAACTGAGGCTTAAAAAGGCTAAGTGGTTTGCTTTGGTCACTTGACCATTGGTTCAAGTTCACATCTGTGTTTACCTAAACTGGATCTCTCCCACTCTGTCAAGCTTCCTCTGGTGGTTACTAGTTCTGGGAACATTCCTGACCCGGGACTCCTATCTTCTCTGAATCCCTCATGCAGAAAACACCAAATGATTCAGATAACGCTACTGTGACTGACCCCAAAGACACCTGCAGGCACAGTGTGCTGATGGGAATGACAACACCACTAAACCTGTGGTTTCTTGACTCTTGTTTCTATGGAAGGAGTAATGCACCTGGGAAGGCGTGGGCTGCATTCACGTCTGGACACAAGTTCGCTCTGGCTTCAAGGTTATGGAGTGCACCCACTCCAAAGAAAGGTGGCATGGTTTCCCAATTCATTCCCGTGTGCCTGTGAGGCCAGGAAGGTTTGTTTCCTTATCAAGTTCCATCTGAGAGGAGCCCATGGTGACCCTAAGTGAGCTACCTGATAATGCTAAAGACAGCAGAGATGACTTCTCTGACATTTCTAACAAAAGGGAAATGCCACCCTCTACCCACCATAGGCTCTGGAAATTGCAGGCATAGTTCACGGAGCTACATGACTTACTTCATGTTCCTCAGGTTGCTGAACATTTGCAAATCCAGCTGGGTAACTGTCATGGGATGGTGTGAGATGATTTTCATAGAAAACAGGAAGTCTCAGTAGTGGCAATCAGATGTGTTTGTTTTAGCTTCTTAGCAAGCATGACACCAGGCCTTCATGGTCCCCTCTTTGGTGGCTGCTTTAGTACCCTGTCCTCAATCCTTGTAGGTCAGCAAACCTGCTGCCTTGCCATTACTTCTCTGGGAAGAACTTGAGAGTAGGGGACGTCACCTTGTTTGTTTCTTAGCATAGATCCTGGTTCTTAGCAGATGCTCAATAGATAGAGTGTATATTCAATTATATTGAATAAGAAGACAGAGAGCATGCCCTATAGTTCTGTTGGATGCATTGCCATGAAAGGTCCTCAAGAAATGTTTGTTGATTCAACTGACTATTGGCCTGAAACAAGGCAGTAAATGTTCACAGAAAGTTGAATTTCTTCTGCACCACCCTTGCCAAGGAACTAGAGAAAAATCATTTTGACATCTACTTTCAGGCCAGAGAGCTCATATTTCCTGCTTAACATAAGAAATATCCTGAAGTTAATTAAGCTTGTGGGTGAGCTGTGAGAAGTCTAGCTGAAGGGCAGTTTGTAGTAAAGGTCTTTTTCGTTTTTAAAATAACTAATAGCCTTTGCAATTCTAAGTCAGAGGTAATACAAGCAGCATTTGTTTTCCTTCCTTTCTCATATAGGGGCTGCTGAGCAGGCTGGGGGTGGGAAGGAGGCAGTATGATAATCAACACACATTGTTCTTAGGTGGATGGCTGCAAAAAATAGCCTCTGAACTTAGGTTCTTCAAAATTTAGTGATGTGTGTGAGCAATGGCACCTCCCTGCCAGCGAAGAGGATTTTGCTGAAGTGGGTGTTGCATGCAAATTAAAAAGTGTATTTTTTTTCTCTGGGTGCCAGTGACTTGCCTGTAATCATAGCTACTTGGGAGGCTGAGATCAGGAGGATAGTAGTTTGAGGCCAGCCTGTGCAAATAGCTCGAGAAAACCCATCCACAAAATAACCAGAGCAAAAATGGACAGGAGGTGTGGCTCAAGCAGTAGAGTGCCTTATTTGCAAGTGTGAAGCCCTTACTTTGAACCCCAGTCCCACCAAAAAGAGAGAAAAAAAAAGTACTTTTTTCAGAGGAAGGGATATTTAGAAGGAAAATATTTTTGTTTTCAAGAATTTGGAGGATCTTTAAGCAGAAGAAACTTCAGACCTCTTCAGCGTTATGAGTTGTCTCTGAAGCACAAATGGATGCATGTTCTTTATAAATCAGTTTCACCTGTATGTCTACAACAGCAATATGGTACATGGCTACTGAATACTGAGTGGTTTGGGCCCTTGGCTTGCCTTTCCAGCCTATTGCCCCACCCAGACCCTCTATCTCTCTGCTCTTTGTTGTCCTGGAACTTCTTTCAGTTCTTATATGCTTGGCTTCCTTGTGTCTTCACTGCCTGTGCCACATACACAATTAAATGCAAGGTGGTCGGTGCTATGCACACAAGAATGTCCTTCCTAAAATATCCCTATTGAGAGGGAGGGAGAGGGGGGTAGAGGGGAGAAATGACCCAAACATTGTATGCACATATGAATAAATGAAAAAAAATCTCTATTGGAAGGGGAGCCACCAGCTGCTGAGCAAAAGGAGTGACAGCCAACTACCTGCTTTTACAGATACATCAATTAACTTATTCAGCGTCATTCAGCGGATGTTCTTCCTCTGTGTGGCTCCAGTGTGTCTTTAGACCTTGGCCTGGGTGTCACTGTTCTGCCCCTCAAAACAGACATTTCCCCAAGTGCTCCAACTGCTTCAGAGGTGGCATCATCACTCTGCGTTCAGTCGTTTGTGGACTCGTTTTCATCTTGCCTGGGAGCTGCATGGTGATGAGGATTGTGTCCATTTGGCTGACTGCCTGTGACATGTTTAGCACAATGCCTGATACATGCGGTGACATCAACATGTCCCTGTTGAATAATGATAGATGAATAAATTAACATATACCTAAATGCAATGAGTTTGTGGCCAGTTGAAATGCTTTCCAGAGGCTGGACCTGCAGCTAATAGGGGTTTGGGAACAACTTTGTTCCTTTTTGGTCTTATACACCGCCCCCCCCATAATTGCTTATGTACTTAGCTCACTTCCCAATTCGACTGTGAGCCCCTTGAGAGCAGGAAGATTTCTGTTTGTCCTTGAAATCCTGTAGAATAAGCATACAACTGATCTGTGGGAAGTGTAAAAAAAAAAAAAGTCTACTTTGTGAGAAAGAGCTATTTACAGAGCAAAAATGCTGGGAGATAAAGAGAAAGTAGTGATAATGTAATCCACTTGTGTTGCCAGGCCACCAAGGATACCTTGGTAAATATTAGCTAATGTGTAGCCCTTTGCTTGCTATTAAGATTTACTGATTTCAATAGAAAGGAACCTAAAAGTTAGGCATGTTATGTAACTCAGACGCCAAGTTCATAAAATACACATTGGCTCTGTCTGTGGTTAGATTAAATGCCTTTTTCTAAGCAAAGCAGGATATGTGTGATAATAGGTCTCTGTGTGAATGATAGGTTTGGTTAGTGGCTGAGTTTATCCTGTATCCTTGCATTCTCTAAGTGTAATTCTCACTCTTTGAACAAATAAATCAACACCATTGGCTAATCTACTACAAGTAAAATGTGTCTTCAGTAAAGGCCAGTTTTCCCAGAATAAATCCAACAATAAAGCCTTCCTTTACATCTCAGTTTCTTACATAACAGTGACTATTGTATAGAGAGATTAATATGATATCTTGTTTCTTCCCGGTGTGATCTTTCAAATATATCTCTATATATGTCTCTATATCCACCTGTGTACACTTGGAAAACTCAGCATCTCAGTGTGTTTCAGAGATTTGGCTGGGAAATTGAATATAGCTAATTGTTTTTGGCCAAGTTATTTGGCATGACTTAGGAGAAAAGCAAGAGTGCCATAGAGCGTAGCGAAGGAGAGTAGGGCAAGGCTGGAATCCAATCCACATCTGCTCCCCAGTGACCTTAGCTGGTGGTTTGTCATGTCTTAGCATGACGGTATTCAAGCCATGCGAGGTTTGAAAAAATATGTATGCCCAGCTTGGGGCTTGGTCTGAGAACAACCACTTTCCTTAGTTTAAACCACACAACTCCACTATTGAATTAAGTGTTTTCAAGCTAATACAAATTAGCATCACTCCACTGGTTGAAGCCTGAGATAAATTTGGCTGGGTCTAAAAGAAAGCAGCCTGCTCATGGACAACTCCCCACACCACCACTTCCTTGCTTTTTCTAGCCATGGATGTTTCTGGTCAGAGTGGGTTTAGGATGCTGGTAAGTGCAGACAATCTGGGGAAAGCACTAAAGTCTGCTGGTTGCTTTTTTCCCACATCTTTATAAGGCCAGGCAGATGATATTTTATCTTATTAATGCAATCATGGAACTCCAAGAGATACACCAGTGGTATTTCCTCACTTCACAGAAATATTCTTTACCTTCAAAAGTGAGGCTGGAGGAGAAGGATGGCAGGGAAGAAAAGCTCAGAATTTGGCATTTTAGAAGTCATCTCTGGAATTATAATATATGACAAAGAGAATGTTGACTCCATGGGCAAATGTTGGATTTAGATCATGATTGAAGGTGAGATCCAGTCTGAGAAGAACTTTGTAAACATTGCAAGTTCCTTGCACCTGGGAGAGGGCATCAGGCCCCAGTGGGTGTAGGCCAGGCTAAAGGATATCTGTGCAAGCCCAGGGGAGCAGTGGGAAGGGAACCCATTTCTCCCTCTATGTGCCTTACCTGAGACCATCCTCTAATTATCTTTGGGGATTTGAGGTCAGTGAGGGCTAGGTACTGTGTACAAGGCTGGCACTCTCTTGCGAGCACTTTATTTTTTCATATCTTCAGAGTCTGTCCTTTACATTTCACATTGCCATACCTGTGGTTTTCTTATCACCACGTCTGTCTACTTGGTATTGGCTTCTTGTGTTTTTACCTGGGTCAGGGCCATGAACAAGACACTGTGGAATATCTCTTTTTATTTAAAATGTGTCACTAAGTTAGTTTCACTTCCTTGTTTTTATGAATAAACACCTTTTTGAAGGGAGATTTTGAAATCTATTTAAAAACATATTTGCATTTAATGAAAAATACCATGAAGACATTGCTAACCATGGTGGGCACACCTCAATTTTCTTTAGTATAGGGGAAGAGGTAGTCCTAGTATTTATGGCTCTGAGTTTCACCATTGTTGGCTGTTTAAGGGAAAGTCCCTTCCCTATTTTGCTGTCAAATGGATGTCACAAAAATGTCATCAATAAGAAACCATTTGATGAACTGAATTCATTCACCAAATTATTCCACTTATGTTGAAGGAGTAAGCAGCAAGCACTCATAGCCTGCACTAGCAGTTAGGGATGAATAGAAGGTGGTTCTGCCTTTATGGAGAGTCAGTGCTCACCAGTCCTGAAGGTCTGGAGCAAGGAAGGAGGGTGAAATATTGATGATGCCCCTCTATTATTCCTTTTGGAAGTTTTGGCAAATCATGAAGAGAGTAGGAATGGGCTGATAGATCCACAGAGACAGCCTCTGAAATCATCTGTTGGATTCTGAGCTTTGTTCTAAATTATATTGAGCAGTAAAATAGGAATTTGACCAATATTTGACTGTTTTAGGGGAAGTCTAACTTTAGAATAGAAAATTTGACAATGAGACACAGTGAGGTGGAAGTTCCCCTGAGTGGAGATTGGAAAGCATATGTTTTAGCTCTATCCTGCCACTGCTTAGCTGTATGAATTTGGGTAACTCATTTAAAATTTCTGAGTCTTGATTTCTTCATTTGATACATGATACAATTGAGCAAGATCAGGATTTCTCTTGATACATGAATATCAGTAGCAGTACACATACATTTTAGATAGTATATTGATGAGTGTTTCTTTTTTTCAGTTAATTATTTTTATATATCAAAAATGTGGAGTGATTTGAATAATAAAAGGTTATAATTAGCTATCTCAAACACTTTTAAGGTTGCATGTGACTGATGTCAGGAAATACCTGAATTTATGACCTCTTGGTTCATTTCAATTTCTCTTTCTGTCATTAATTTTATATTTAAAGAAGATGGTCCTCCAGTGGCAAGTTTCAAGTAGAATAGCAGTGTGGTATCCAGAATAAACTAATCAGCCAGCCCAAATGATCAATAAGTCTGATAGTCTTGAACAATCTTTTCATATATAGTTAGGTGTGCACGTGACTCACCTTGCTCACTACTTCTGTAAGCATAATCTTACCTTTGTTTTCCTCTGCTGTGTTTTCAGATCAGGCTATTGACAGAAAGAATGTTCAAACATCTTCGAAAATGGTTTGTCGCTCACTGCTTTGGGCATTCTCAGCAAAGAAGAACAAGACTAGTCTCCAAAGATGGAAGGTGCAACATAGAGTTTGGCAATGTGGATGCACAGTCAAGATTTATATTCTTTGTGGACATCTGGACAACAGTGCTTGACCTCAAATGGAGATACAAAATGACTGTTTTCATTACAGCCTTTTTGGGGAGTTGGTTCCTCTTTGGTCTCCTATGGTACGTTGTAGCTTATGTTCACAAAGACCTCCCAGAGTTCCATCCTGCTGACAACCACACTCCTTGTGTAGAGAACATTAATGGCATGACCTCAGCTTTTTTGTTTTCTCTGGAAACTCAAGTGACCATAGGATATGGATTCAGGTGTGTGACAGAACAATGTGCCACTGCCATTTTTCTGCTTATCTTCCAGTCTATTCTTGGAGTTATCATCAATTCTTTCATGTGTGGTGCCATCTTAGCCAAGATCTCCAGAAGTAAAAAACGTGCCAAGACCATTACATTCAGCAAGAATGCAGTGATCAGCAAGCGGGGTGGGAAGCTGTGCCTCCTCATCCGAGTGGCTAATCTTAGGAAGAGTCTTCTTATTGGCAGTCACATATATGGGAAACTCCTGAAGACCACAGTCACCCCTGAAGGAGAGACCATTATTTTGGACCAGACTAATATCAACTTCGTAGTTGATGCTGGCAATGAAAATTTGTTCTTCATCTCCCCACTGACAATCTACCATGTCATTGATCACAATAGCCCCTTCTTCCACATGGCAGCAGAAACACTTTCCCAGCAGGACTTTGAATTAGTGGTCTTTTTAGATGGCACAGTGGAATCAACGAGTGCTACCTGCCAAGTCCGGACATCCTATATTCCAGAAGAGGTGCTTTGGGGCTACCGTTTTGTGCCCATAGTATCCAAGACCAAGGAAGGGAAATACCGAGTGGATTTTCATAACTTTAGCAAGACAGTGGAAGTGGAGACCCCACACTGTGCTATGTGCCTTTATAATGAGAAAGCTGCCAGAGCTAAGATGAAGAGAGGCTATGACAACCCCAACTTTATCTTGTCAGAAGTTGATGAAACTGATGACACCAAAATGTAGCAGTGGCTTTTCAGCATTGTGAAGTCTTGCAGGTACCTAGTGGCTAGCAGCATTATGAAGCATGTGAAAATAAGATGAGAGCCTGCTAAGTCTATCAGCACAGTGACCCTGAACCCCATAACTGTGACACTTAGCTCTACAAGGCTACCGTATTAGCGTATGCAATGCATTTATATGAGAATGGCATATGGAAGCTACAGGAGCTAACTTGGAATTTTGAATATGATTATTTGAGGTCATGGAATATTAATGGGAACAGACAAAATCATCAAAAGTCTCATGGAGGGGCCAAAGGAGATATTTTTTAAAGTCTCCTTAGAGAGTTTTGGAGCTTTAGACAGGATCAGGGAACAACCATTTTGATTCTACTGATAAGAAAAATGTCACTTTCATTTTAATATTGATTTTTATCAATGGAAAAAATTGTCTCCTAAGTTGGGGGAGGTGAACTAACCAATCAATGATAATAAGAAGAGACTGTTACAAAAAGAATAAATGGAGGCTCTGACCTACAGCTCTGGTTTTAGAGTCTTCATCTGAGGTTGGGTCATAGGTGTTTCAGGAAGGGCAAAGGAAGGCATGGTCCAGGGACTCTGTGCCTCTCTGTACTCACTGTGGAGAAGAACACCATGACCCAAACTTGCTCTATGGCCTATCTAGATGCTGTGGCCCACACTGGACTTTGGCCCAAGTAATCTCCCATGGTACATTTAGACAGAGGATAAATCTACACTCTAGAGTCTCCATGAACATCTTCCTGCTAGTAGAATGCTTGAGTTGAAAGTGGTGGTGATATTTTTTTCAATTAAAAGAGCATTTATTCCCTGTTCTTTCAAGATGGCAATGAGAACTGTGAAAATACAGCACTAGCCTGGAAAAGAATGTGATGTGAATGCTTCAAGGATGCTGTGTTTCTCTGTGTAGGGCTTTAATGAAAGGCTACTTCTGAAGAAGTGGAAAACACAAAGGAATGGGGTATGGCCTTACAGTCAGGACTCTGCTAGGTCTTCCTGATGTTGAGAGCTAATGCCATATCTTCCTAAAAAAAGACCAACCCAACTGGGTACCAGTGGCTCACACTTGTAATCCTTTTGACTTAGAAGGCTGAGTTTAGGAGGATTGCAGGTCAAGGCCAGTGGGGCAAAAAATTCATGACACCCCATCTCAGCTAATAGCTGAGCACAGTGATGTGCACCTGTCATTCCCAGCTACATTGCTGGGGGCTGTGGGGAACAGTGCTGACATTGGGAGGATTACAGTTTCAAGCCAGTCCTGGCTAAATGTATGTGAGATTCCATCTCAATGGAAGAAAGCTGGTGGCTTGCCCCAGCTATGCAAGGAAGCACAAATAAGAATATTGTGGTCTGGGCCAGCCTGTGCAAAAATGAGACCTTGTCTCTGAAATAACTAGAGCAAAAAGGGATGGAGGTTAGCTCAAGCAGTAAAGTGCGTGACTAGCAAGTGCAAAGCCCCTGTACCACCTAACATTTCTTTTAAATAAATAAGTAAAAAGGACCAACTTAATGAAAGGATTAACCTTTGGGGAAGGTTTGAATGTACATGATTTATTTGTTTTCCTATCTGCATTATTTTGAATGCATCCTGAAAAAAATGGAACTCTAAGCTGTTTAGAAATAAAAATGTGCCCAGTGTGTTGATTAATAAATTTCTAAAACTGCATGCACTTTCTAACAGTGTCACTTATTGTGTATTAACTATGACCTAGTGACTGGGGAAAATACTCTTGCCAAGGGTGGGCTTTTTCTTGGAGGGGAAAGGACCAGTGGGAAGGAGCTAAATAGGATGCATTTGTTGTCTTGATTCCCCAGGAGGAAATGAGCTAGGCTGCAGCCACACACCTTCCGGTCCAGCTCCATCAGATCTCTCCAGGATGAGCCTTGGCACAGGCAATGGGGAGCTACCAGCAACTGCTGGGAGATGGCTTTGTTTTTGCAGGCCTGGGTTTATTTTGTACATATACATATGCACACTTGTCCTTCTGACCCATACCACTGGGAACTCTGATGGGTTTAGGGTTGTGCACCTTGTCAGTGGCCATAACTGCACACAGCTGGCCCACACTGGAGATTACTCTGTGCCTATAAGGGCTTTGTCATTACAACTTCATTTGCTGACAAAACTAAAAGAAATTAGTTAACACAAGCTTGAGGGAACTGGAATTCTCTGCTGCCCTGTTGTCATGAGGCTTTATGACTCTGTAGACCTTTATAAACTGTGGGGAAATGTATTCACTCAAGCCAGGCACATCAGAACATGCTCCTCCAGTCTGTCCTTGGCAGTAGAATCTGACCACATCAGTACTGCTACTGTCATAGGTGTTTATATTATTATATTTGCTGATTTGTCCATTTCAAAGGCAATTCTGTATTTCTTATTCATGATGTATTATTAAAATTTCCTTGGTACTGACTCCCCCTTAATCTCTGTTGCTATATGGTTTTTGACTTGTAGAGTTTGATCCCATTTTAGCCTTCCTAGACTTAGTTTGGCTTAAGGGTCAACATCTAGAATGAAGATTGGGAGACCATCTTTAATAAATGGAAGAAGGAAAAGATCCTCTTCAAGTGGCCAAGTTGAAGAAGTGAGATAATTAGAGTGTCTGTTTACATCTCACTGTGGATAGCAGGCTTGGATATGGGGGCATCCTCTTTGGAGATTTTTTTTTTAAACCTAGAGATGGGTCTCCAACAGGATGCTTTTGTGAATAGCAGGGTTTCTCTTTCCCCTGTGTAGAACAAACAATAGGAAACCTCAGATGAAAAGAATGCAAATGAACCCTTGGCCCCGCCCCTGGGCCGTTGCTGCCTGCCATTACAGGAAGTGTGTGTCAATCAAAGCTTGACAGGGGAGATAGAGCATTTTATTTTGGATGCCAGAAGTTTGAGAACAATGACTGGAATTTCCTCTTTCTGTCCAGCAAGGGCTGTTTGCCATAGGGGAGATAAAAGTCCAGGGGTAGGGAATAAAGGTTATCGGGAACTGCGCAACACAGAGTCATGGGGGGAGGAGGGCTTGGCGGGAGGAGGGGTTATGGAGGAAATCTATTTCAATGCCTGTCATTAAGTTTCCATTAAAAGAACATTCAGTTAGGAATTCAAAAATAATTTAATCTCCCCAGCCAGATGCACCCAGCTGGACTCCTTGGAGCTGAGCCCTGTAGAGAGGGAGATTTGCACACCCACTGCAGGGGCAAATCTCCATCCAGTACATCCTTGACTACATTGAATGTTCTAGAAGACACAAGTATCTTTCAGGAGGGTTAAAACCCCAACACTTGTGTTGTGGTAAGAGAAACGTAGTATAGGGGCATTTACTAAGTTTTCATTATGTCTTAAGCTCTAGTTTAAGCATGTTACATACATGACCTCTTTTAATTTTCACAACAATTAATACAATGAGAGTTGTACCCTACTACTATTATTATTACAGTACTATTGTACACTTAGACAGCTGAAATAAGGAATTTGTACAGAGTCACCAGCCAGTAAATGGTATGACCGGGGCACAAACCCAGACTGTTCTGCCTTGAACGCCTATTGGTTTAAAACCACTCAAGTCTATATCCTCAGATAGATCTATTACCTTCAGAGGATTCACCAGGGCCATCAGACATTGACCTGGAACTCCTGGAGGGTGCATCTTCTTAGCCTGGGCTTACACTTTGGGAGAAACCACTCATTGCTTAGCACAGGCTTAAATTCTTGGCCAGGGTTTAATAAGCACCTGGAGAATTGCATGTTCTAGGAAAAGTCAGTATTTTTCCAGGGCCTCTAAGTAAACTTCCTAGTGAGTCTCCAGAAGTAACACAGGCATCCTGAAGATTTGCCTAGCTTGTCAGTCCATGCAACCAATACTAATAATATATATGATGCTATATATATGGATATATTTATTTATGCAATAGTCTTTAAGTACATACATACACTATAGGTATTTACTATATACATCTGACCACATCAGTACTGCTATTGCTATTATCATATATATACACACACATATATATATACACACACACACTTTAAAAACTGTATATAATATTGTATTTAAATCTCTAAGCTAGAGACAATTATTAGTCCCATTCTAACCAATGGCAAAGAGGATCCTTCATTTTCCCTCGGGAGCAGGTCTGTGTTCTGTATTCATCTTTACATTCCTAGCACCCAAATACTTCCTCACCCAGTTAATAAATGGTTTTTGAATGAATAAATGAAGGAATGGAAGATTTGATCAAGGACTTCATAGCTAAGAGAGGATTTGAACTCATGCCTGTCCAATGAACTTTTGACTAGTTTACATTATTTACAAGCTGGGGGACTTTGACAAATGATTTAACTTCATTGAGCCTTGGTTTTCTTATTTTTTAAAATGGATTTTTGAAATAAGATAAAGAGCAATAATAAAATCCCTTTGTAGAAGGTAGTTGGCGAGTGGTGTGTGAACACAAGGCAGGGGCAACAGGATCGAACCTGAGGAGCTGCAGCAGTTGGGCGGTCCCCCAGGGCAGATCCCACCTGCTTCTGCTGCTTCACAGGTGAAGAAAGTAGGGACTGAACAGGGTTCTGACAGAGATCAGAGAATGTCTCTGGGAATAAATGACAGCACCTCAGAGGCCCTTTGATATGGGATAAGCTAGGCGCTGGGAGAATTTGAGTAGAATCTCTTTCCTTGGTCTTCATTTCAGACCAACAGATGCTCATTTGGGGTGTACTGTGAGCTGTGAGCTGGACACTGTGGAAGCCATGAGGAAGCATGGATTCTCTCCACTCCCATGAAGGACCAGTGGGGAGGATCAGCACTGAATTGCAGAATTGCTGATGGTGGAGAAAACTTTTTTCACTTTCCTTATGCAACATGTTATTATAATTTCAAAAAAGCAATACTGACCCTACTACTGACAATAAGACTATTAATTATAGTCCTTCATTATTTGAGATCAAGCACTGTTTATAATATATCCTGCCAGGAATGTGCAATCACCAAATTGTCTGAAGATCATTTGTAATTATTTTCTCACTTTTATTATGCACCAGGTTCATTTCCTTCAATTTCCTCCCAGTTACTAGATTGCTTATTGTTTTCCTTTTTTTGATTTAACTTTGTTTTCTTATGGTGCTGAACACCAGACCCAGGACTTCACACACACTAGGCTCTGCCTCTTAGCTGCATCCTCAGCCCCAACTGTTTCCTTTTAATAATTATGAAGAGAATTCACGTGATTTCAAAAATCACAGGTTTCAGAAAGCTCACTTCTATTCCTGAGCCCCACAGTCTGTTCCCTTCTCCTTATGTAAAACTAGCCATTCTTACTAGGTTTCTCCTTCTGCTGC